TACACCTTCCCCTCCATGGCTTCGTTATCTGCCTGCCCTCTGCTGACTTCTCCTGTGTTGGAGAACGACTCGGTCTCATACAGGCCAGGTGTGAACACACACAGAGTGACTGAAAACCTCACCTAGTTCCATCCATGTGCATGCTATCGCCAGTGGAAAGATGAGCAAATGTATGGGTTATACTAGCGTGTATAGTTGTTTTCATCAAGTCCGTGGTGTAGGGAAAGCCCATTGCCTTAAGCACTTGCACAAAAATCGATTTCCTGAAGAAGGAAAAAGTGCAAACGTCAAATTCACACGCAGGGAATGCCGACCTACTTCACTCACCAAAGGTGATGACTACAGCCGGTGGCTCTCCTATGAACAGTGCCTTTCAGGAATACGTAATTGTGACTGCAGAGTTCTCTTCTGATTATTCTCACGTGCTGTTACGATTAGCCAAATTGGGCCAATTAACAATATGGAGTGAATGGAGCAGACCGTTAACCAGAAGACTTTGGTGCTTACATTTAGATGTCAGAATAGAAACTAAGCACTGTGTCGGGCACTTGGGTGGGACTCGAGTGTCCCAATGAGCAGCTGTTGCAGAGGCTTTTCCACCTGCACACACTGTGCTTGCAGGACCCCAGTGCTGTCACTTCCCAGTCCTCTAAACTTCCCATGGCCACGTGGCTAACCCTGTAAGAGGTTCAGATCACCTCAGAGTGTATTGGAATTTCAAGAATTCGTTTCAGATAGCTCTTACATCATTGAAAAAGCTGGGGGAAAAAGGTCCCCTCCTTCTTTAAACACAAAATCGTTTTAATCACTCCTGTTTATTGAGTGCTATGGACCAGGCGGAGAGGCCGGGAGGGGAGGGGGAAAGGTCTGTTTGACTCCAAAGTCCCTGCCCTTAAGCACTCTACAGGCAGCCCAGCCTGTAGAACAATAGGCTTAGAAGACCCATCACTCGTGTCCACTCTCGAGCCATACCGGCTCCTGCAGAGAGCTCCGGCAGGCAGTTCATGACGGTGCCGAGGGACACACACACAACCGCTGCAGGTCTGGAGGTGATTTCCGTGTGCTGAATCTCAGGACTGCCAGCAGGCACGCGATTGCTGTTGTCTCCTAGAGGTGAATGCCCCTTTATGACCCGGCTGCCTGTTTCGCCCTAGTCTAAAATCCATGCCGCACGAAGTCTGAGCGAGATCGCCATTGACCTGACTGAGACGGGCACGCTGAAGACCTCGAAGCTGGCCAACATGGGGAGCAAAGGGAAGATCATCAGCGGCAGCAGCGGGAGTCTCCTGTCATCAGGTAAGCGAGGCCTGGGGTTTGGGGGCTCTGGCGGCTACCGTCCTGAGACCGTGGAGGAAGTTCCTGCAAAGCGTGGCTTCAACCTGAGGGTGTCGCCTGTGAGGGCGGGGGAAGGGCACTCGCCGAGGAAGCAGCTTGGCAGCCTCTTCAGGAGCTGGCTCTGGTTTTGAGACCAAGGATTCGGGCCAAATGGGAATCTGAGAAAAGTGCCGAAGTATCCAAGGGGTGGGGGGTGATAAAAAGACTGCGGTGGAGCCACTGAGCGTGGGAGGGATTGTTGGTCATGCAGGTGTCTTAGAGCACCCTCTAGAGCCTTCTAAATGCTGACAGCTGACTGTCAGGAATGTCAGCTACAAGGAGGGCAGGTGGGGTTCACTTGTGTGTCCGTTAGAGGAGAACTGTGCTGAGGCAGGCCTGAAGGTCAGGGTCGTGGCACTGAGCGACACTATATTCCGTGAACTTCTTGGGACTTGAAAAAGTCCAGGAGACTCTTGGTTGTTTGGAAAGCAGAGACTTGTTGTCACAGAGTGTGGTAGAGCCATTAAGCGCCTTTTCAAACTGAGAGTCCAGGGCTGTGAATCTGCCGTCTGTTTCCGTGGGCCCTGGGCGAGTCATTTTGCCATTAGATGTTGGGAGGGACAGAAAAACCTCTGAGGTTTCGATCCGGCTGACTTCAGGAGAAGGGAATCTGTTGGCTGACGTGACAGGAAGAGAAGCAGGTTTGAGGAGGGCAAGGACAGAGAGGGAGGCGGTCATTGTTTGGAAATGTTAGCGAAAAGTATCCCTGATGCAGGTCACTCCCCAGGCCACATGGTCAAAGCCTGATTGTTCTTGGGGACAGCGTGCCCTTGCCTCTGAGCCATGAAAATACAGCAAGAGGTCTTTGCCCTACATCATCTTGCAGAGTCATTTCTATAACTATGTCTAGTGGCTGCACACACAACAAAGTGAAATAAAGGAAAAGAGGTAGGAGACGGGGAGAAGCTGAAAGCTGTCTAGTTAGCTCTGGGCTGGTGGAGTGCCATCAGAGAGCAGGGAAAAGTGTAGCTCTGAAGAACAGGGAAGAGGGTGTGTGCCCTTCCTGGACTGGGATGCCAACTTCCTGTGGGGCTGATGTGCTTTAGCTCAGGGCCCCTCATTGCACAGGCCTTTCTGAAGCCCTGGGAAGGCTCCAGCCATGTGTTACCATGGCCATATGTCCCCATGGCCATGTGTCCTTGTCAAATCTGCGAACGTTATACATTTTGCATTCTTTTTCTTAAATAGAGCCACCAACATTACATAAGCTTCAGGCCCCACAAAACCTGAGCCAGGTCACCATTGGGTCCACCGTAAACCCCTCCCTGTCTCAGAGTCTTCAAAATGTTTTCATCAGTACCGTAGGCCAAAGGATCATTATTTCTGAGGCCTGGAGGTTTTCAGGGAAAACTTAGAGAATGCTGTCTTCTTTTATCAACGAGAATGCCATTCCTAGCCCAAGCCCCTGCCTCAGATTACAGCCACTCCCAATCTCCTGCTGAATGGAAAATGGC